TAACAGGTCGAGGCTGCGGTGGCCAGGAGCAGCCACTGCACTCCAGTCTGGGTGACAGAGTGAGACTCCAACTCAAAAAAAAAAATTATTACTATTAAAAAAAGTACTTCATTAAAATGCAGATTAAAATTTGAGTTAATAAAAAAATTTTTAAGGTTTAAAAAAAATGTTTTCAATAATGAAAATTTTCATTTTACAGGTAAAATGAAAGGCCTGGCATTTATTCAAGATCCTGATGGCTACTGGATTGAAATTTTGAATCCTAACAAAATGGCAACTATTATTTAGTGCTGTGAGAATGCTCCTTTGAGATTTTAGTAAAGACATATTAAAAATGAAACAACATGATTCAAGATATTCAGATACCAGAAGCATCCAGGACTGATGATGGATCGTTGTCCCAGTTCAAATTATTAAGTTCATTTCCTTTTCCTGTTTCAGCTGTTCTTTTTCACCTAACTGGTAACTGTTCTGGTTTTAAAGTAGTACTTTATTTTATGTCCTTGAACGTACTGGTATAACTTTAGTTTTTAGATAATAATTAGAACAATTCCCTTCAGAGGCTACATTTTCCTTCTATCTCCTAAATATTACTTCTCTTCAAGTCTGCCTTTTAATCATAATTTTCAAAAAAAACAAAAAACAAAAACGACGTTTTTGTTCTGGTTATCTTCTGGGGTTTCCTCAGAACCAACTTTTCACAATGGAAAGTAAAGAACACTGAACAAGACTGAAACTTCATGTGTACTTCAAACAGTACAAAGTGTTTATTTTACAAAAGAGAAAATACTCTTGAGAGCAATTCAGAATTATGCTGACAAGGATACTGATAGAAAAAGTAATTTCTTTTTATTTATAAAGTACATTTAAAGTTTAAAGGCTAACCTCATTTATTTGGGAATGGGGAGGAGGGAGGAAATAATATTTACTTAGTTCCTAGACCCTGGACTAGGCCATGGCATATCTACTCCCAACTATCATGTGGGAAAGAAAGCAAGCTAGACATTTGAAATCACTTTAATGGGTTGAAGGCAATATACATAGGTTCAAGTATTCAAGATCTTATAGTCATTTTTAGTATGTAGATTGTGCCTCAAAATTAGTACTTCACAATACTTCCTCCACTAGTCTCCTGTTTTAAAAACCTTTTATGAATTTGAGCATTGTGCCCTTGCCCCTCAGGCTGAGTACCATGGGAGGGAAGAAACAGAAATCTTTAAGCACAAGATTGCTCTGGGGACACCCAGTGATTCCTGCACAAGTGATGCTTACGTTACTCATGAAGAGTCCTCCCTACAAGGTCTTCATGATGCCAGTAATCATATCTATGATAAATTATGTTCATTGATAACTTAGTTATTAGAATCAGTTCAGTGGTCCTCCCTGCAAAGATTGACATTTGATGTTTTGTTTTTCGTTTTTTCCCTTTCAATTCATTTAATTTCAACAATCAGTCAAAAAGAGCCAATAAACAAATACTGAATTACATTCTGTTGATTTTTTTAAACCCTCAAGCTCCAGACTATAAAAACATCTTGTGTGTCTCCCACCCTGACCACCCTCCTGCCTGCCCATACCCACAGGCCACCCATCAGTGTAAGCCGAGGGGAGCTGCATGGCCTAATGGTCTGTCTACTTGGACCCAGTAGACAGGAGGGCAATGAGTCCTGATGAAGCACTTTTGGACAAAATGTAGTTCACTGTGGGACTGAAGTTCTTCAATATAAAGAAGGAAAACACAAGACATTTGATGGGTTTTTTAAAATCTAAGTGATTTTGAAAACCTCGAATGGCCCAGAAAATAGAAACATCCAGTTTGTGGTTTGACTACATTGAGGTTTTCTGTAGATTCGAGTGGAAGACCGTTGGATAAGCCATGCCAACTGTGCTTGCACTGCTAGAAGCACTTTAAATTTCCTTTTTGAATGAAATGGATTTACGTGAGCACTTCAAACAAATAGCAGTACTTACAGGCTGACATAAAATAAAATTTCAAATAAGACTATGTTTAATTTGTGAACTTCTGTCCAGCATGTTCTTTCTTTAAAAAGGATGCCCTTAAGAGAGTACTGAAAGGATTTGAAAAGGCTTTCAGGTTCATTCTGAACGAGGAAGAGCTGTAGAACAGGTGGTTTCTCTGGATATGGAAATGTCAAAAGGCAGGAAGAGGAGAATAAATAAGGAATAAGTATTGAGGTAGATAAAGTGCAGTGAGAAGAAAGGCCAAATAGCAAAAGATGAGTTGTAGGAACTCACTAAGACCAATTTCACATGTTGAATACTAGAACTGACAAATGGGAAGGCTAATAGATTCATAAATTCAGTCATTTAAGCTTTATTTCCAGGGAAAGAAGCCTTCTCTACTTGCTAAGTAAAACTTGCCTAAAGATAGCCCTTGCTTATTCCTTAAATTTATTCCTATATGCTTTGAAAAAAATGTACAGATGGCCCTTGAACAACACGAGTCTGAACTGTGTGGGTTCACTTATACAAGGAATTTTTTCAACCAAATGTGGATTGAAAATACAGTATTCGTGGGATGTGAAACCCACTTATACGGAGGACTGACTTTTCATATGCCGACTGTGAGACGAGTATGAGCAGATTTTGGTCCTGTGGGCAGTCCTAGAACCAATCCTCCACGTATACCAAGGGACAACTATGCGTTGTATTACTAAGCCTTGTTAGAGAAAAGAACAGTTCACTTCCAAACAAACTTACCTGAGAAGAGACAAAAAGCAAACCAGGGCAACCCTTTCAGGTCCCCTCCCACTGTGGGAGCTTTTCTGTCCTCTTAATAAATTCTGCTGTCTAAAAAATCAAAAACAGGCAAACTAGATCACAAGAAGCAAGTGTTCTTGTTTTCCGTGATTATTGTCAGTGTGGAACAAGTCAGTCTCTCCCATGAGCGCTACCTGGCTAAGACTAGGTACTCAGTTATACAGGTGGTTAAATAAAGAGCTGATGGCTGACGGAATCACTTGTGACTTCCCTACACAGTATCTTGACCTGGATTGCATGGAGTGTGTCTTAATTCAAATTGCTGTAATGAAAATATCGTAACCTGGGAGGCTTGAACAAACATATGTCTCACAGTTCTGGAGGCTGGGAAGGCCATGATCAAGGCCCCAGCAGATCCAGTGTCTGGTGAGGGCCCCCTTCCTGACTTGTAAATAGGCACCTTCTTGCTATGTTCTTATATAGCCGGGAGATGTAGGTCTCATGTCCTACAAGGGCAGTAATTTCATTCAAGAGGGTTCCACCCTCATGACACTTCCTCCCAAAGGCTCCACCTTCAAATACCATCACATTGAGGATTAGGCTTAAACATATAAATTAGGAGGTAGGAGGATGAACAAATATGCAATCTATAGCAGTGTATATAAGTAATCCTTAGCAACATAACTGTGAAGAGCATTATATCAGTAAGGACACTTGCAGCTAGCAGTAAGAAAAAAAAACTATGATGTAGCAAGCACTTCAGAGACTCTAAAGTGGGTTGTTAGTTCAGAAATAGCAAGACTCCCACTTCCATCTTTCCCATCCCGTCATTTTTGGCATTTTTCTCTCTGGACCAGTAATACTCGTCATCAAAAATGCCCACCATGATTCCAGTTGTCATGTGTAGACCAACAGTGTCCAGTGAAAGAAAATAATCTTTTATTCCTCATGTGTGTTTGATAAGTAGTGAAACATCTTTCCCAAAGCTCTTCAGCAGACTTCCCCCCATGTCTCAACCTGAACCAGGTCACTTGTCTGTCTCTAATCACCGACAAAGGAGATGGGACCACTCTGACTTAGATGGATCGTATTTACTCAAGTTACCTGCATGGGAGTAGACTCTGGATCAAAACAGACTGCCAGAATATGAAGGAGCAAATAGGGGATTCTGGTTAGGCATAAACAGCAACTGGAGTATGAAATTAGATATTGAGAACCTAGTTGATGTAGAGTGCTGTAAAAAATCATGAAATATTTCCTACCCTCAAAGAGCTTATGTATAAGATTGTGGTTCTTGATCATATTCAATTTAGTAGACCTTGTTTATAATAACATTGTAACACTTATAATATCTATCATACTATCCTAAAATGAAGTTCATATGATATAACCTGCCTTTATATACAATTTTTTTTTTTTTTGAGTTGGAATCTCACTCTGTCGCCCAGACTAGAGTGCAGTGGCCGCTCCCGGCCACCGCAGCCTCGACCTGCTGGGCTCCGGTGATCCTTCCGCCTCAGCCTTCCAAGTAACCGGAATTACGGGCATGCGCTACCATGCCCGGCTGATTTTTTGATTTATTGTAGAGATGAGGTCTCGCTGCCCAGGCGGGTCTCGAACCCACGGGCTCAGGCAATCCACTCACCTCAGCCTCCCAAAGGCGCGGGATTACAGGCTGAGCCACCGAGCCTGGCTTATATACAATTTTTTAAAAAGTCAGTAATATAAAGGAAAAATAAAATCAGGCTGTAATACAACATTTTGCATTTTAGTATGTAAATACCCATGTTGTATTGCACTAAAAGTAGTAAGGTACTCACGACCAGCCCGGGGAACTTGGCAAGACCTCGTTCTCTACAATAAATTTAAAAAAAAATTAGCCGGGTGTGGTGGTATGTTTCCAGTTACTTGGAAGGCTGAAGCGGAAGGATCACCTGAACTCAGCAGGTCAAGGCTGCAGTGGCTGTAAACTACTGTCCAGCCTGGGTGAAAGTAAAACCCCAACTCAAAAAAATTAAAAAAAAGTAGTAAGGTACTTGCCATTATATATAGAAGAAAAACTCTTCAGAGTATTGTCACTATTCAATATTTTAAATAAAGACTGAATTTATGATTCATGAAGAGCTATAGCTTTACAACTTTAAATACATACTTGATAGCAAGTGTGCTTTACTGATGACTTAAAGAACATGAATATTACTGTTGGAAATATTTTCCTAGATGCTGATCAATGCTTGCCAAATAAGAAAATAACATTCTTTTTGTTGATAGAATTTTGTCCCTAGTGAATATTAAAGTTACATATACAAATAAGTAAAATAGAGATCTGAGCTCAGATAATGAAAAGCAACCTTTAAATGTTTTATTTATTTATTTATTTATTTATTTATTTTTGTGTTGGAGTCTCACTCCATAACCCAGGCTGGAGTGCAGTGGCACACTCATAACCACCCCAGTGTTCACCTGCTGGGCTCCAGCGATCCTTCCGCCTCACCCTTCCAATTAGCCAGAACTAAAGGTACGAGCTACCATGCCTGGATAATTTTTTATTTACTGTAGAGACAAGGTCTCACCAAGTTGCCCGGGCTGGTCTCGAACCCACAGGCTCAGGCAATCCACTCGCCCTGGCCTCCCAAAGTGCTGGGATTACAGGCTGAGCCACCGAGCCCAGCCTTAAAATTTCAGAATAGTTTAAGATTTACAGAAATGTCACAAAGGTAGTACAGAATTCCCATATACCCCATACCCAGTTCCCCTATTTAAAAAATCTTGTATTAGTATGGAACATTTACCACGATTCAGGAATCTATATCGATATTATTAAAATCCATACCTTTCAACAACTCAAAAAATAACAGCTGCTGGAGAGGGTGTGGTGAAAAGGGAACACTTCTACACTGCTGGTGGGAGTGTAAACTACCGCAACCTCTGTGGAAAGCAGTGTGGCGATTCCTAAAAGCTCTAAAAATTGACCTTCCATATGACCCTGCAATCCCCCTACTGGGAATATACCCTGAAGAACACAAATCACTCTATAAAAAAGATACCTGCACCCGTATGTTTATCGCAGCGTTGTTCACAATAGCAAGAACCTGGAAACAAGCATGCTGCCCATCAAAAGAGGACTGGATTAAAAAAATGTGGTACATATACACGATGGAATACTACGCAGCCATAAAAAAGAACAAAATCATGAATTTCGCTGCAACCTGGATGGAACTAGAGTCTATAATACTGAGTGACCTCTCACAGAAACAAAGATCAGAATATCACATGTTCTCACTCATATAAAGGATCTTGAACATCCAATGTAATACTATAAGAAAATGACTGACGGTACTGGGAAACTATGGGGGGGGAGGGGGATGGGATTAACAGTAGCAAATATCTGTCTGGGCTGGGAAAACACCTCTTATCAACAGGGTGTCTGAATGAAACATAATTGTACACCTAACCCTTAACTGTACCCCACAAAACCATAATAAAAAATACTGATTAATTATTAAAAAACAAAAACAAAAACTTAAAAAAAAAAAAATCCATACCTTATTCAGTTTTTGCCTACTTTTTCTGTTACAGGAAGCCATCCAGGAAACTGCGTTATATTTAGTCACCATGTCTCCTTAGGCTCTTCTAGACTGTGACAGTTGTTTTTGATGACTTTGACAGTTTTAAGGATTACTAACTAGGTATATTTTGTAAAATTTTTTCAATTGGGATTATAGTTTTTTAGGAGGAAGACCACTTGCTTGTCACTACATCATATTAAGGAAACATACTAGCAACACCACTTTTTACTGATGCTGTTAACCTTAATCACCCGGCTAAGGTAATGTTTGTCAAGTGTTTCCAACATAAAGTTGTTCTTTCTCCATCCACCCCCTTTCCATACTGTACTCTTTGGAAGAAACTCATGATGTGAAACCCACCCTTTGTGGAATTATGCTCCACGTCCTTGAGGGAAAAAGTAGGTTTTTTGCCTATTTGAATACTCAGTGGGACTTCCCAAAGTCGTACAGGTCATTACAGGATGTCTAACATCCCTGCTCACACTCCACTAAATACCAGTAGCGAAACCCAACCCAAAATGCCCACAAGTCTCCAAAGTAAACCCTAGGGGTCAGTGCTGCCCTGTTGAGAACCGCTGGTCTAAAATTTACAATTCTAGTTTTCTTTTTATGGTAGTGTGAACTTAAAGCATGTATAAAGAAATCTGAGTGCAGAATCCATCAGTTTTTATTATTTCTTCTTTATTTACATATGATTTTTTTCTGCCCCTAATTC